AAAAACATAGAAGTCGAGAATCTGAGTAGACGGTGCCTTTAATTTCGCCGAAACGTCGGACATAAATAGAGTGTTCATTAGAACATTTTGTGCCTCAAATAAAACTAAGAAAATAAAATAATTTCTAGATTTCAGACTCAAGCGAAGACTCTTCTATATGTGCTTCTGTATCAGACACGTAAAATAATGGGAAGTGTGTGCGATTTCTATCTCCAGCTGCGCATAATGACAAAAAATTAAATTGTAACATGTTTAAAGCCTTCAAGTAATTTTGCGAGTATGTGAAGTTTTGTCGGAGCATCTGCACGCATTCTCCGCATGTCTCGGTCTTTGACTCTTCTCGGGACGGAGTGGAGCAAATTGCTGTGAAACGGAGCGCAACTTCTGTTCGCTGTCATTTTGCTTGCTTTGTCATCGCATCCGAGTGCCACGTGTTAGTGCCGCCTGAGCTTTGCCCCTCAGCTTCTTTCGTCACGTCCGGACGCCAGCGTTGATTATCTTTGATAAGCTAATGCCATTGTATTTGCTCATTCTTTTTGGAAAAAGAAAAGAATTTGCTGCCAAAGGGCAAAGTACAAGACTCCTTTGGCTAGCACATAAAAGTTTTTGTAATCGTTTCGATGACATTTGAAAATGGATGGAACATCCGTAATATGACAGTAATCAAGGTCCTGCTCGAGAGTAGCTAAGGAACACGTTGCCATTCGGATCCACAAGAAAAATTGATATAGAATTCTTTCCAAAGTCAGTAAATCAAGGCATAGCTACTAGCATAAGATAAGGATCACAGTAGCGCTCACTACCTACATCGAGTGGAGTTGTAACTCAATGTGCGAACTGCACAAGACGCCCGCTACTTCACCACTTCTTCGAATAAAATCTGTATTTTCAGGGATTTCTTTTTTCCTCTCTTAGCTTGAATGTATGAATATGAAGTAGTAGTTCAAAATTTCATAGTTTGTTCAGCTAGTAAAGCTTTTACTGAGGTACTAGTAAAGTGTCGTCGGTTGCCGCGCGCTGTGTGCAGGTTCACATATCAAGTTAGGTATGACTCGCACATGCCTCTGAACAGGTACTGTGACTGATAAGTTTAAATGACTAACTACCACTGTAAATCCACTAGTTCTCCTATTTTGATACTTTCGCTTTACATTCTTGAATTCTTGCACATTCATAACCAGAGCAATTATTCCCTGTCCTGAAAATGGTTTTCCGCTTTTATCTTCTTTCAAAACTGTGCGTCCTAGTCCATAAAAATAGAATGCTTCGCGCATCTATTTTTCGGCATCAAACACCAGGAGGTTCCAGACAGTAAGCAACACCAATGTTCATTTGTTTTTCTTCTCAGCGCTGAAGATCAAAGCTTTGCTTATATAAGTCTCGAAGTCTTCTACCGAAAGGCAGGGCTCGGCACGAGGTGGCTAGATGAAAATGGAAAAAACGAAGTTCCCCTTGACTTTTGGGAATTTTTACGAAATCCTCTTTGACCCTCAACCAAATTTCCTCTAAAAACCTGAAAAATTCCCCAAAATCCCCCAAAAAACGAAACGTCGACTAAAAAAAGGTCGCCGTCGCCAATTTTCCGTGTCTCTTCGGTCACAAAAACGAAACCCCCTTTGCTTTTCGTCCCAAAAACGATACCCAGCTTGCTTGTAAGCCACCTCGTGCCGAGCCCTGCCGAAAGGGCATGTTTCTTTTCTTTTGTACAACCGTTCTCTAGGCCTTTCACTAGAATGTGATAGAATGTGATAGATTAGAGGTAGCTATACAGGGTCTACCGAAGTATGTACCCACTGCTTGATTATGAAGCTCTCTTGCATTGTAGGTATCATTTCGTAGCGCTGGTTTGAATTAGGTTTCCTTAGAAAACGAACTGATCGCTCTTCGTTACTTTAAGAAATGCAGGAACTTTGAAAGGGATTCCGCCATTGAGGGCCACTTTTCGCCGTAAAAGGGTATCATTCAAAACGGCTACACTACGCTAATTGGAGTCGCTGACTCTAAATAATAAAATTGTACCTCAATGTGAAAGTCTCTCTAAGTCATGCCAGATATACCGTGACAACTGTTCCTCAATAAAGTGACTGTGTGCAACGTCTGAAAAAGCTTTACAGACTTGTAAAAGAGTAATTAGTGGAAACAGCATGGTGAAACTTCATTATATAAACATATTGAATTTTCGAAAATTTTTCTTGCTGAAGCGGTTATTTATGTCGCAAAATATTAAGAACTCCCACCATCATTCTCCTTCGTCATCCTACTGTAACAAGGAACGATCGCGATTCTTTCTATACTGTAAATATAAGACGAACCAGCTCTACACGTTGAAAACATAGATCCGCTAGAGAAATTAGCAAGGGAATTAGTTACAGTCAAACAGTAGGTACATACTTTTGGGACACCCTTTGTATAGTGCATTTTATATTCAATAGTCCGGACTCTGCTCAGCTTTAGATGGGAGATCATTTCTTCTTAGGGAACTCTATCAATCTCACCTTCTTACTTTGTTGTCCAATAATTTTGGCACCTCTTGGGATGATCGGTGGTCTTAACTGCTTGTTTATTGCGTCAGCCACCAGTAGTGTAACAACGCCACGTGGCTTAGTGATTTGATTTTCCTTAACCCTGCCCCAGATAACGTCGTTTTGAGTGACCATCGGGGAGAAACAAAAAATTTCAGCGATTTTTTTCGTGATCGCAAGCGTATCAATCTTGAAGAAGATACTTGGTGTCTGGCCTGTTAATGCAATGTATATCATAGACGCGCCTCAAAACGCTGTTTCCAAATCTATGTTCAATATCTGCTGCGAAGGCACATTCGAATCAAAGTTTCAAAATGCATCCAGAGTTTTATATTTTATATTAAAGGACCATACGATTACAAAGTGTCCTTCCTAAGTTATAAGGAACGCAAATTTGTCTAGTTAGCCGTCGACGAATTCTGACTGATTTGAACGGATTTTATGGGAGAAGAAATTATTTTTGATAGACATCATGTATAAGCGAGTCAGTTAAAGAACTCTACCTTCATTTCAATTGAGTCACCCATTTGCGTCATTTTTTGCTTTCTTATCTAGCATTTGAAGTGAGAATGCAATTATTAGATCTTACGCCTGTCCAGTAAAACGTTAGGTCACTTTCCTACTGATTTTTTTTTCGTTTGTGATGATAATTACAATTCACTTCTGAGTAAATCAATAATTTAGCAGAAAATTTTTTTAGTAAACTGCATTTTTGAGTGATTCAGTCCAATAGTTAAGGAGCCTCATGATATAAACCAAATATAGTAAAACCCTTTCACACCAAAGATGAATTATCTGAACTATTACACATTTTATCAAGTGAATTTTTTTATTTTAAAGCATATTTTGGAACGTAAAACATAATAAACGAAATCTTATCGAAACGTATTTATTTATTTATTTATATCGTACCAAATATTACATCTTCTAGAAGTACGTCATCGAAGTAAGATAAATTTTTCCAATGAAATTAAAAGACCAAATCATTCAGCGCCTCGGGAGTTTGCTACACTCAGCACGCACAAGGGAGAGGCAAGAAGCATAACGAAATCCTCAATTTGCTAATTACCGCATGCTTGTAGATACTTTGACTGAGGCACTAGTAGCTGTCTTATCATTTCAACGGTGGCAAAAGTAGAAGATTAATCGTATGATTTCTCAGCAGTTTTTCACCTCGACTTTGTCCTCGTCATTCCAAAAGGCACGTATGACACGAGTGTCGTTTATAAAGGGAGAAATCACAGAAGATGCTGTATCTAGGTGGACTTCTCTTGGAACATGTCGTCTAACTCTAGTCTTTTTCAATATTCTACAACTCTGTTGCCAGAGGCTATATTTGGCACATTTTGGGTGCACGGACATGCAGCTGTGCACTATGCTTCTGTACTTCCTAAATCTTCCTAAATCGGCATCAAGCGTCATCGAATGGTTGGAATGATGAAAATGATGAAATCATCTCTCGTGACCATTACCGTCAATGGGGAGAGTTTATGATAAATGCGCAAGTTCACAGATCAGTCAAGCTGATATGTGTCTTCCAGACGCGAGTCCGGCGAATCTGCACTTTGCTGACAAGAATCCGACGGTGGCGTAGTGGCGCGTGTCCGCATGACGTCATCGAGCAGCACAAGCATTCCGTCTCCCACTCTGCGTTGCTGAACTCTCGGTGTTTTCGCGTCGAAACCGCTGGCTAGTGGTGGTCATTGTGTTGTGCGCGCTGCTAACTGCTGACCCCGGTGCTGAGCGATTGTGGCGGCAGCTCGCTCGTGCAGGTGACGTCGGTCGGGAGCTGCCGTACGGCAGAATGATGCCGAGTGCAAAGCGCGCACATTGCATCATTCTGATGATCCTCAGATCGCACAGTAAAAACGCACGGAGGGGGGGGGGGGGGACCGTCGTGCCCCCCGCTTACGCGCGTACCCTCGCTGCCGGTGGTGCAGCGCCGGCGGAGGCGGGCTGGGCTGGCGTTCTCACTTCACGCTCCGACTGCTTGCTGCTATGTATGCGTACTCATCTTTGTCACCCCCGTTCTTTCTACGTCATGTTCTTCATCTTTTTGTCGTAAACACTGTCAGCTACTCATATAGGGTCGAATTCGTATCTGGCGCCACTGAAACTGCAGCCACGAAGCATTTTTTCATTTCTCTCTCTTGCCACAGATGTTATCTCTCGGCTCGTGTCGTCGCAAAATGGTGCCACAAACCGAGTCCTAGCGACATTTCGTCGCAATTTGCCCTTGTTCTTCCTCTGTTTTATGACAATAGCAAAAGAAAAGTGCAGCTTTGATGTCATCTGCAAAATATCTACAATCGCTCACTATCAATCATATTCTATCTCGTCGTGCACAAACTTTTTCAAATCACAATTTTTTTCACGGAGAAAAATCTCTGCAGTCCGCAATTCATAATATCTGTCTCTTTACTCTCATTTTTTCTCTACTTTTTTCAAATTTTTCAATGAAAACTCCATTCTTATTCCAGAAAATGAGTACATTACTAAAAGCAAGCGCACGACAAGTGGCAATTATTGCCCCAAGATTTATGGCCAGTAGCAGTCAAGCGCCTGAAATTGGAGAGAAGCCACAGGTGAAGACGTCTGGAGACCCGCATAAATCGTTCTATGTGAGTGTTATTGTGTTAAGGAGAAGCCCTTCTTCATACATTCTCCAGTTCTTGTTTGCCCGCTGGGTCTTGCAATGTTATTCTATCATATTTGCCTATAATCATGATTACAAAACGTCACAGCAATCTTCGCCGCGCCCTTTGCACGACCGGTTAAGGTGCTTGTATCTAGGAGTTGTAAACTGATATAGAACCTAGCGGCTAGCCTAATATTATTAAAACAGGAATTTCTCTGCATATTTGAGATGGTGTGACGGGCTATAAAAAACCTACATCAAACACCGACTAATCTGTTTTTCTCCGTTGCAGCATCAGGACTTGATAGTGACTAGAGCGACGGGAAGCGAACTGCATCCAAAGCCGGGACCGAACGATAACTTGAGATTTGGACATCAATACTCCGATCACATGTCATTCGCTGATTGGAACGAAAAAGAGGGATGGTCATATCCACAGATAACTCCTCTGAAACAGATTGCCATCCATCCTGGAGCAAAGGTAAAATCATCACCGACTATAAGCTGCTATTAGCTATATTGCCTTATGCTAACTTACACCACCATCCTCTTTTTTTCCGAAAAAAAAGTTGGAAAATTTCTTGGTAAACAGTGCTTTTGAGCTAGTTTTCAAGTGTGCTTCTTCCTATCACCTACATTACCAGAATTTTTCCTCTTTCACATCGTCACACTTCCTTTTCAAACATCTTCTCCTTCACTTCTCCTCATGCCAAACTATCGAGCACTGTAATTGATTCTATCAATTCCTTAAAAACTAAACAATGCTAATTTTGCCCGAGAACTATGATTAATTATAAAAAAAACAACATCTTCGCTTCCGTTTTTGGTCTCTTGCAAATTCTATTGACACATTTCCGATACCACGTTATCCTAATAGAAGAGCATTGATCAAATCTATCTTGTTTTTCTCTACCCTCTACGACCCCATTTCTTTTCATCAAAACAAATCGTAAATCATGATTTAATGGATACATCAAAGACTGCAAGAAACCTACAAATTATTAGCATCTGATGAATGATTTTTGAAGGTTTTGCACTATGCCAGTGAACTCTTCGAAGGAATGAAAGCGTACAGGGGTGTGGATAATAAAATCCGACTGTTTCGTCCTGATATGAACATGGCTCGAATGAGAAGAACAGCTCGTCGAGCGGCTTTGCCTGTGAGTCAGCTTTGCTAGTACGGTCATTGCACTCGAATCCTAGTATAACAAGTATTACAAGTACATAAACTGAAGTGCATGAAATTTTGACCTCTTTGGCAAAGAATCTCGTCAAAATTCCAGGATTTCGACGCGGAGGAGTTGATCAAAATTATTAGCGAGCAAGTATCACTTGACAAAGACTGGGTTCCACATTCGACCACCTCATCGCTCTACATCAGGCCCACACTCATTGGAACTGACGTAAGTTTCACTATCTTCCGAATTTTTGTTCCTTTTTCATCTAAGCCACGAATAACTGCTTTTTCAGCCTACACTAGGTGTCGGCTTCCCGACTGCAGCCAAGCTTTTCGTTCTCACAGGACCTGTTGGGGCCTACTATGCAACAGGTTTTCAACCTGTTCGACTTCTTGCCGATTCACAGTATGTGAGGGCATTTCCTGGAGGCGTTGGAGCCTTCAAAATGGGATGGTAAGTGATAATTTCGTTTTCTTCTTTTTCATCAAAACTAACTGTTTATTTTTCCAGCAATTACGCCCCAACGATTTGGGTTGGCAAGGAAGCGGCGGCAAAAAACTGTCAGCAAGTTCTTTGGCTTTACGGTGACAATGAAGAGATCACTGAAGTTGGCACCATGAACATCTTTGTGTATTGGAAAAATGAGGAAGGCGGTGAGTTTTTTAGTTTTCAAAACCCTATCTCATGCTTGTAGATATTTCACTTCAAAAATTCAAAATTAATGAAAAGCAACAGAACTTAAAAATTCTGTTGTTGTTTTTAATTGGGAAGTTACATTGTATAAGAAAGCTGCTCGTGTGTCTGTCGAGGGCAGCGGAGATTGCAACGCTGCTGGCGATAACAGCAGTGACGTAGCGGTGTCAGCAGTCACCTCGAAAAAATCAGAGGAATTTTTTTCTTGAATTTCAAAGCGGACTACAGATGTTTCAGAGAGGAAAAAAGTCGGCTCAACAATAATCATCATGATACTTGCTCAATGCTTGGCTTTGCCTTCGTTGCAAAAAATGTATTTTTTGCAGAAATGGAGCTTATCACACCTCCACTGGACAGGGGTGTGATCCTTCCCGGAGTCACCCGTGATTCCTTGTTACAACTGGCCAGAGAATGGGGAGAATTCAAGGTTTCCGAAAAATCTTTCTCAACACACGACCTCAAGAGAGCCCTGGATGAGGGAAGGGTATGTTTTTGAACATCAGAAAAGTTCAACTACGAACCTTTCGCAACCGCATTTTTCAGCTGAAAGAAATGTTTGGAGCTGGAACAGCTTGTGTCGTGTCTCCGGTTGGACAAATACTCTACAATAATCGTCAGGTAAGCGTGAGGAGAATTAGTGAGAGAAAGCTGAACTGTTTGCACAGAGGCTTGAGAAGTTACTGTGCGGGAGTTGTAGCAAAATTTCTGTAATTGTACGTCAAAATTTGCTGTATTTCAGACAGGACAATATGAAACTTGGGAGATTCCAACAATGCAGAATAAGCCAAACCTTATGCAAAGGTTTTATGAAACCATCATCGACATTCAGGTAAGTATGCATATTCTGGGATTTAGCACTTATCAATCTCCCAGTCTCTGATCGTCTTACCATTCTGAACGAGCGCCCGATCGGGATAAGCTCGTCCAGCACTTGATCAGAAATCTGGGGATTGATTGATACCTCCCTCGATCATAAGTAAAGAGTAATCAAATTTTTTTTGCAGTACGGGCGAACGGTACACCCAACATGGACACGAACAATTTGAGAATCATCACTTATAAAAATCGCATTCTTACTGGGTCATTGAGTTGTATCTCTCTGCTCGAGCTAATCATACTCTTTCATTATTTTCAACTCAAATACCGAATACGCGTGCCACCCCATCGTTATTCTCGCCAGTACATTATTTAGTAGTGATTTTTAGTGAATTAGTGTGGCTGCTTGCTCAATTTTTTACCCTTGGTGCTCAGCCACTTTTATTGTTGTCATGTCAATCTCACCGAATCCATGAATGCCCGGCTTGTTTTGTTTACTTCACTATAGTGCCTTTTTCATTATGATATACTTTGCAAAAGAATATATTGCTGATTTGTGGGTTTATTGGCTCATATTGATAGGCAGCATATCATGTGTCCAAGATTGTGTGTTTGAGTGCACAAGAACACTTATTTACTTCAAAGAGATTTTTGATTATTAGAAGCATGTTCTTGTGTGCATCGTTGATTGTTTTATTGAAGAGGTTGTTCCTTTTTCCTGCTGGAAGACAGGAATGTATCAAAGATATTATTATACTGGTCCTATCACTGAATAAATTTATTGAGACTTGGCTTGAACTTTATTTTGATCTAAAGGAAGTATATGTGTGGTCGAGCCAGTACGAACGATGCGTGGAAAAAGCTACTCTCATAAGGGCTTGATTAGCCCATTCAGTAGGATTGAGCTTTTTGGAATATTTTTTGATTCATGCATTTCATCCTTTTATTATCTGATTGGCATTCAAACTCCACAGAAGAAGGATCTCAGAATCCGAAAATGTGCCAAATTTTGAACAGGCAGCTAAAGACCTATCTGTTGTATATGGAAGTGACAAGACCATGTAGATCGTGGAGATCCAAAATTCTGAAAAATGAGCTATCTCGTCACCTATCAGTATTTTAGTCGAATTTCTTTCAGGTATTATTTTGGATGTCCAGCTAACCAATCCACATTATCTTTATTTAAAGGTGATTTCCTTGGCAAGTTATCGGTTTTTTATCTGTTTGGGAGATATTAGTCAACTTTGTGCCAAACTCCTCTTGCTTTAAAACCTGTACGTATTTTTTCCTTACTTGGATGCGCATTTTTTAATTTTTTTGGCTTTCAGTTCTCATCCCAGAATTCGATTGAGCAGCTGCCTTCGTCTCCATAAATGTTCGTCTAAAGTTTCTGAAACGCATAAAGCATTTTCATTGTGGCGAAACAGCCGAGAATTGATCTAACACCTACTTTTGTTCAAAAATAAATTAAAAAAGGCTAGCGATAGCATTGCTAGTTCCGACTCTTTTTTCGAAGAGAGAACGTCTTGAATGCTCATTCGCGTACTTTTAAAACCCCCTGCCGCTAGGAAATGATAACGTAAACGGTAACCAATGTCATCAAATCTGTGACATGCACGTGCTTCCATAGGTGATTTGTTATTTGATGACGCACATGACGTCCAGACGATCTGATTGCGTCTTAGTTTTTGATTTGACAAAGCTTGCGTATCGTGATGAGTGTCAGTCGAGCGCGATGCTCTTTCCACGCTACCACGTGACTTGGATCGGCAAACAGACAGTTTGTCTTTGACATCGACGGTAGGGAGAGCGTGAGAGAGATGGCGACGGCTAGAGAAATATCATTTGAAAGATAAGAGCAGCGCGGCGAAATCGCTGCGGGACTGCGTCTTGTGGCGCCAGTGCTATCTCCGACCGAAGCGATTTCTCTGACGCCGAAACGCCGCGCTATCGTGGAAACGCTTAGGGATGGTGTTCGTGCGCTTCGCTTCGACAGCTCGAGATTAGAGTCGTTTTGATGATCGATGAAAACTGCAAAGCTTTGAATACAAGGTTCTTCGTTAGGTCATCGTTAAAGGCTCTGTCCACAAACTGAGGTTGATGGAGAATTTGAATAATTTATAATTAGTGAATCCCGTAAGCAAACAGTCAAGCAGGTCTCGCTGCAAAAGATGAGTTCCAAAGCGGAAAACCGCTCCACAAAGTAGACGGGGCCACGCTGGTTCGCGTATCATCGTGAGCGGTCTGAAGATACAAGCTCGAACTAGGGCTTTCGGGTAGACAGAAAGACCGCAAATTGGATGATCGTAAAGGAGGGCGATTTAAAGCAATTCTGAATACATTAAACCCTAAGTTTGGACTGGTTATCTTCACACCACCCACGTTGGTGGGCGGAACTAGCGTGACCGCTTCTATTTTCTGGAGCGGATTTTCGCTTTGAATTTCATCTTTTGCAGCGAAAGTTGGGCGATTGCTTAGTTAGGGGCCCCGCTGTTACACAGCATTGAAATCTTACAACCCTTAACTGAGAGGACCTCCTGGTCACTAATTTTGTTCCACTTACAATTGTAGAATTTATCATTACTGTATAAGGCTAATGATGTCGCATCACATGCTATTGCGCTAGATTAACCAAGAATTGTGCGTGTGGTATTTGATGAAGAAAGCATTCTCTAAATTTGACTGACAGATTTCGACTAAATGATGTACCTCGCAAAAATCTGGAGCCAATATCCAAAACTATTTAAGTACCAGAACTTTCTACGAATTTAAGTAGTAGGTGCACACTGTTATTTGTATATACTCTTGCTGAATTTAACACGATGAGAGGAAAAAGATGGAGGAATGGCAAGCTCCGCCTCCTAGCTATGAAATCTCCTACTTGGTATGTGTATACTGCAAGAAAGTTGTGAGTAAGAGCATATCCATGAAAGTGTAAGTAACCCGTTTCCGAAAAATACAGTTTTAGCTGAAAATACGTGAAAAATGGGATTGTATTTTTTGAGATATAAGCCATGTTTTTTGAAACTACTTGAGATTTCATACGAGTGCGCTAGATTGTACCACTCGACCAGCTTCTGACGCTGCTGACGCATAAATTGACAAACAGAAAGTGTGTAAATGATGTTGGAGGACGTTTTGCTTGAGGAAAAAAAACAGATTTTTTGTTTCCACTTGACGACATGGTGCTCCACACGAAATGTGACTCAAGCAAATGCACATGACTTTGCACCAGTTGGTCAAATCGCATGCATTTACTGACAGTTGATAGATTTGGGACCTCATTTAGGAAGTCTACTTTTTTGGTACAACATTTGAACTCTTTCAAGAATATTTCAGGATGTGTCTGGTCATTTGCCGTTTGAGTATTTAATTTTAGCAACCAATCAGATTTTAGACCATGAAGGAAAGCACGTAAATCTTGTGTCTCTAAAATAAATTTTTCTACAATACATTACCTTTGCAAGTCTGAACAACACAGGATTGAAATGCATGCGAAACGAAAACTCGCAGAGCAAAAAAAAAGAATAAAGAATGGGTTGAAGTACGATTTTCTGAAGCTTGTCAAACTTCATGTGGACATGTACGTACGTATATCAAGACTCCGTTAGCATCCAGAGCTTTCAAAGTTTTCATGCAGCATCGTGTTCCTCCATCTATGTCAGACCTTTTTTACATAAGTCAGTATCTGAATGGGATTTGCTACAGAGAGAATGGGAAAGCAGCGAATAATGAATGACTAACAGTCGATAGTGTCCAATGTATTTTATGAATATTTCTTTTAATACATATGACATAATTCAAAGTTGTTTCTATGACTCTGAGTCTAACGTGAGCATGTCACTTTATTCAAAACTCGGGATTGCAAATGTAAGACGATAATAACATAAGCTTAGATTACTGCATTGAACCATTCAGGCTCTGTTTGGAAAACTCCGAACTTCATGTGATTGCTACTTTCGATTGAATGATTTGGCAGCTAGTTTTGTTTCTACACCTCAGTGATATAAACATAAATAAAAGCTATACAAATATAGAAACTGATCAATGAGTGAGTGATCTGTGCGTGTACACTGCAAACGTATGCCTTTTCCAAATATATTTCTATGACCTTGAATGTGAAGACTTATAAAAAATCGAACGTGCAGTCTCAAAGAAAAACCTTCCCCAGTCACTCGCGTAAGCCCGCTTTGAGTTTCATTCTTTATTTCACAGTACAACTGGTCATTTAGTGAACGGTGGGTAGAAGTTAGCGAAGACTTTATTCACAGACAGTAGCTTCGTTGGATGAAGCTGGTTGTACAAAATGCTCCCCATAACATTCACGTGAACATTCTTGGAAATTCCTGTTCTACTGGTTATATGAATTGCATATTTTGACACAACAAATTCATAAAATGTTTTGCACATTTCATTGTGCAGCTTCATCACAACATCAAAGACAAATAGCTCTGGGAAGTGAATTTTGTTCCTAATTTCCTTGCATGCTCAGATCTAGTGATGCACAGTTTTTGAAAATTACAATGTGCGCAAACAACAACTCTAGGATGATCAGGAATGCATTATCTGAACAATTTTACCCTGTCTGTTGGAATTTCGTGCCGATCAAGCTCACATTGGATCCGGCTGCATGTTCATCGGATCGTCTTCTCCCGATGGGAACATACGACCTGAGCTGAAAAAAGCAAAAATAAAAATCGATTAAAAAACAAAGGAAACATAATGTGATGAACTGAAGTGAGCTGTTACAGGGTGCATGAAGTAAAGTGAAGAAGCTGAAAGTTCTGGCAGCCTTATTTTCTCGATAGGATAGAAAAGCAGAGTGCAGCAGATGAACGTGAACAGAAGCGTTAAAGTCAGTTGAGAGCAGCAAGCATAGGAAAGTCTTACCACTTAGTGATATCTCTATAAAATCTCATTCCTCCACACTGAAAATACATTGATGAACCAAGGAAGGAGCACTCAAATAGGGCAGTACGTAGTCGATTTGAGAAAGATGTAATGCTTGGGATTGGAAGCTACAACCGAAGTTGAACACTTGACTTGATTTGCCACTATTTGATCAATTTTGAAGAAAATATCATGATGTAAGAAGCTTCTACGACTCCTTTTTTACTCTCTGAAACTATACTTCAATCAGGAGCAAAGCTTTTTCGCACTACAGTCATACATTTTCATTTTTTTTGGCAATAGCAACACACATCTGTAGCGATCCCACAGATTTTTCTGTGGAAGGATTAGGCGAGCCCTTCCTTCAGAAAATATAATATCCAAACTATGCTTTTCAAAATCATCTCGAGCCTTCGGCCAGCCCGTTCTGGTACTTTTGGATTTTTCGTTAGATTTACAAGACTATGTTTACGCATAGAAGAGAAGAAAATTGCTTGCGTAGCTTTTGTAACCCTTAAGCAATATGCTTAAAAAATTTGCGCCCCCCCCCCCTGTAATATATGAAAGGATGTGTTAGAAATAGAACAGCGCGGATGCGGTAAGTAATTGTTTTGAGTTTTGTAAAACTGAGTGTTAATTGAATGTTCGAGCAAATCGAATTTCTTCAATGCTAATTTTTGAACTAAATTCAACTAACAACCACCGTCAAAACAAACTTAACGAAAGAATACTTTCAAAACTTGCTTAACTCCGCTGGAACTGTACCCTCAACTTTCGAATGATTTCCACTGCAAAACAAATCAAAAGACTGCGGCTTTACCGTCTCCAATTTTCTCTCAACTCTTTTATGCGTTAGAAGTTTAGCTCTATGCTTAAGAAACCTACTTTCCGGACACTTTCATAAAGTTGTCAACGATGATTGTGATGGGTAAGGCTAAGACCAACACTCCGCTAATGATCGCTCCTGACGCAATCAGCTTTCCGGCTGTAAAATACATTCGACAGTGAAATTTGCAAGATGTACATATTATCAAGTAGCAGTTGCTCTTTGAACTCCGAAATAATGCTTTAAAATATTCATAACACTTACGAATTGTGACTGGCACATAGTCACCGTACCCGACCGTCGTCATTGTTACAATTGCCCTAGAATATGCTGTCTACAGTATCCTTTTCCGCATTCATGCATAAACAATAACCAACCACCAAAAAGCTGCTGGTATGGAAGTGAATGGCGTGTCTACTTCGTCTTTTTCGACAAAGTAAAGAAGTGTTGAAAAGAAGACAACACCGGTTGATAATACCTGGAAAATAGGTGCGGAGATAAGTGTGTTAAGACACTGATAAACACTAGTAGGGATAACAATTCGAAATAGTACACATTCACTTTGATTGAGAGGAAGAAAGTTTAGCATAAAAATTGTAAATGTATGGAACCACTGGATTTCCAAAAGGTCTGGTCAAAAATTCTGGGATTATTTAATTGGCTGAGAGAAAAATTAGTGCGCTCTCCGGTAAAGGTCGAAGCCGAAGAAATGGTCTGGATATAATGGTGAGTATGCGGAAGAGTTGAAATTTAGATTCATTCAAATAGCTAAGTAAAATGCTAAGAGTAAAACCTTGAGAAACTTGTAGCTTCCGCACATTAATAACTGCAAAGTGCATGTTTTAGAGCCAAGAAAAGTCCTAGTTGAAAGTATAATAGTAAGATTGCCTGTTTTGCTTTTCGATAAAAATTTATACCCTGTTTTCCGGCGTATAAGCCGCAATTATTTTCGTCGCGCGCGGGCTGACGCGAGATGATGGTCGCGATGTGTGAAGCCGCGCAAGCATCCAACTACCTACCACCTATTTTACCTAGTAGCCTGATTGTAACTTTCTGCTTTCGCTCTTTCTTGTGTAAGCATTGAAAGCACCATTGAAACATCAGCATCATCATCAACAATCATTGAAATCGAACAAAATAGCAGCAGCTCTTTAACCTCGTAACATCTTTAAAAACAAAAGAAGACGCTGTCAACTCCATTGTATCCTCAAGGAAAAAACACAACCCAAACACCCCAAAATCGTCCGAATCTCTGGAAATAATGAAGAAATATCTGAAAACGTGAACATGCGCAATGAAAAGCAGTCACAAAATGCAGCGAGTTTTCAGTTTGTTAGATCAAAACTTTCTTTTCGAAGGCTCTTTCGCGCCATTGTTCGCTGCGGCGGATGCGGCTTATATAAGGTGCGGCTTATAAACCGGAAAATAGGGTAATTTTTCTCTGACTCTGTCGCGTGCTGCACGCGGGTTGAGGCTCATAAATTTGCCCAGCATATATCTTGTTGGTGATTGCTTCTCTCAGGTGAAGATTTCGCTATGAAACTGAGCTAATCCTTGACTTCAAGATCACTGAGTATTGGAATCTTTGGTAGCATTCAAAATAAAAATTTTGACAATTCAGGCGTTTGCGTCAGATTGCGTTTTATTCTTAACGAACGTTTTTCGCAATTCTTACTTCTCTAAATAATGATTAGTTTGGATCTTGATAGTGGTTTTCATAGATTATGCTTACGGCATTCTGTGACATTAAATCCACCTCAACTCACTGGCTTTGTTGTGGCACTGCTTTAGATATTCTGAGGCAAATAAAAATGAGCACCCTGTATATTTTCTCCTTAAAGGCAGTGTCCAAGCAAAAAGTCGATTTTGAGATTTTGTGCTTACCCGGGCCTATTCGCCATGCTGAATCCGATAAACCACAATGGAAAGCAAGAAAACGCCAAAAAAAAGGCCCTAACGTAGGAGGGAAATCTAAGGTGGGCGGGTCCGTTCAAACCGTGACATCACTCTCCCAAGCTTTAGGAGCGATTTTCTCGGTTCCGATATTATGTCAGGCGTTTCGCAGTTGGCTGGTGGTGATGTTGAGGTGATTAGCGGAAGCGAGAAGATCGCTCCTGAAGCTGGGAGAATGACACCACCATGTGAACAGCCCCGCCCACCTGCAATTTCCCTCCTCCTTTCAAGCCTTTTTCGCAGTTTTCGCGTTCTCCAGTGTTGATTTTCGAATTCAGCATGGCGAATAGCCCCAGGTAAGCACAAAATCTCGAAATCGACTTTTTGCTTGGACACTGCCTTCAACAAAGAAGTTAGCAGTTCCAGGAAAGTTTTTACTCGCCAATCCATATTGTGCAGTAAGCAGTTTCTCTACTTGCCCAAAGACAATATTTTTTGTAAAGTTGGGCTACATGCTTGTAAAAAAATGCGGTATGATATGCGCCGATTGCTGGCGTATTTCATAAGAACCAATTTCTGGTACTTTTTGCTGTACTGATAGAATGCAAAAAATGCAAGAACTACGCTAATTCCGATTTGTTCTGAAAGAACAGCACTCTTTCCGCGACCTATATGGTAAAAAAATCATTTTACTCAACAAAACGTTTTTCAGTCATTTTTTGATCAAGTTTCCCGACTTACTGCATATAATTTAGTTCCAGCTCGAAAGAACGACTAGAAAATCTATTCTCTCGATTACGCCTGAAAATGACAAGTTCATTATGATGTCCCATCTCACTGACCATTCCCATCATTCCTAGCTGTCGAGCTGAACTGCGTAGCGTCAACGCAAACGTTCGCATTCCAGATGAGTATCTGCCGAGTTTGAGAATTCGCACCACTCGAAGTACTCGAAGCACTCGAACGACGAGTAAAGCACCTGCAAAATTCATATGAATGCCGCCTTGGAGCAGATATTGCCGCAAAGCAACTATGCACAGAATCTCCTTTTGTGGCCTTTCTCGGCCTTGGAGATTGCCGAGGGGGTGGGGGAGAAACTGCCGCCAAAAACAGCTACTGGCTTGCAGGAGACGTGACTTCAATTTTGGCGGTGATTGGCTGATTGGCTCATGCAGCCAATCGCGACTCATTTGGCGGGAATTGCTCATGCAGCCCTTTCAGCAATCTCCAAAGCCGAAAAACACCAGCAGAAGCACTTTTTTGACTTTCCAAGCACAGTCCTGGACTCAGCGCATCTAAGGCTAAGGAGAGATGGAGAGATCGCAGCTGCAGTCTTCACGAGCCTTTGAGCCGTTTCCAAACTTGCCCGTGTCAGCGCCGAACGCCCGAGCCTCGACCGATCAATATGGGGCGCATCCACATTTCTGGCACGGCGCTGGCACACGAACGCCTATGGGCGACACCATAGCAGAACTTTAGCATCTTTAGAGGAAGATAATCCCCGTAAATTCGAAAAGTTACTCAAGGTTTTTGCACGCGTGAGTAAATCTGACACCAGTGATTGAGAAAAAGCATGAATAGTTCGTCAAAATGGTCAAGCTGCGAATTAAGCTTTTCAAAGATGAGCAACCAACTCCAAGGCATTTGTGAAGCCAAAACAATTCATTACTTCTTTTCCTCTCTATAAATGCCTACACGTACGATATTATGTACTATCAGGTAAATAACAACGATCTAGTAATGATATGCTTACCTTTTATATCACTGAGGCTGGCGACGTCAACTCCAAACATAGCCAGCGTTAGTTCCAAGTAGAATGGAATTATTGCCACCATATCGACAACATTCATGATACCCACGAGAAATTGCAGCCTCAAATAATTCATTTGTATATTTTCAATAGCGCTAACAAACATGAATAATTACCTTGAAGGGGTAACGACGAGTCTTAATATAAATTCAAATGTGAACCAAATAATACATGTGGTTTCGATGTAGCCAAACGCTGGATGCGGCTCCCATATCACGTTTGGATCATTTACTAGAGAGAAACGATTTGAGTAAGCTGTTTATAATTTGGTTTTCGAGCAGTGAGAAGGAATGAAGCCAATAAGTTATGTTGATATCAAAAGGATTCAAAGTTATGACACTTTGTTAGCTAATAGGTGGCATCAAATCTATTAGAAAAAACTGATATTATTGCTGTAACCATGCTCTACAAGCTGTAAAAGCATACTGAACTACGTAATAATCTTTGTTCGTTTCTGGGAAGTCTAAAGAAAAGAGTAGTATTGAAATTTGAAAGTCTGAAAAGATCAAGAACGGTACCGCATTTTTTTCGATTCATTTCGTACTTGTAATGAAATTTACTGAAGGAAAATTTGCAAGGTGCATTGATTTTAAAAGCTATTCGTGTTCTTTCACGACATGAACGAGCAAAAGTGCGCAAAGAAAAAAAATCAAATGCTTCTAGTCGCCCTCGCTTCCGTAGGAATGCGGTGGACGATTTTGGTAGTACTGGAGCAGGCTGTTTGCGCTAGAGCGCGGCATCCTCTGATGCAACTTAAAGGCAGCGTTCAGGCAAATCTGTTCGCATGGCTCTTTCGCCTGGAAATTGATGAGGGGGTCCTAACTAACAAGGGAAGGATACTTGGTGACCGTGGCCTTTTGCCATGAGGTGTATAGCAGTAGGTGCGCCTTGGAATGCTGATTCTAGATCTATGTTCACTATCTGCTGTGCGTTTCTCTGAACGAAGTTATGGACTTTTTTCCATATTGATTTTGCGAGATTTAGGCAGTCAAAATCGTCAGTATATAGGTTCTTTGGACTCTGATGTATCGGTGACAGTTTTCCTGAGCTTTACGTAAAGCTTTGCTTTATTTGTACGTTCTTTTGTAATGCGTAAGCGAACATTTTAGCGATATTGGTGGATCCTGCATCAAAAACAGTGCAAATTTTGGTGACAAGAAATGCACATAACTTTTTTCAGAAGAGCGCGCAGCAGATAATGAAAACAGATTTGGAATCAGTGCTTCAAAATGCATTTGATGGTATATGTTTCATTTCAAAAGGCCACGGTCACCAAGTATCCTTTCCTTGTAAGGCACTGCCCAAGGGGCAGCGCAAATTGTTTAGTCACGGCTGAGAAATCCGGCCCGAAAACCCGCGCCTGCGCCGTGACCGTAACCCAAAACGATTTCGCTCGCTTTAACACTACGTTCGCGCTGGGACCAATCCTAAGTGTTACGGTCACGGCGTAGGCGCGCCGTGAATGAATTATTTGCGCTGCGGTTTGGGCAGTGCCTTAGCTAGAGCCTCTTCGACAGAAAACCCATATGCTCAGATTTGCCTTTGCCTTTAGAGGCTATAAGAATTTTACGTGGAAAGTAATTTGGGGCCCTAATAAAGGCACTGCCCGAGCGGCAGCTCAGGTAGTGCTCTAACGGCTGAGATAATCCCCTCGAAACTGGACCCCAAGTTTTCGCATGGTCATGGCGCCCATCAGTTTCTGCTTTGCCGCACTCTATCGCAACATGCCTTCTCCATTTCAAATTCAGAATTGTTCACCGCAGGTATACTGAAACGAGGTGGCTATATATCAACTCTATTTAGCCGTATGCCATCTCTTCCACTTTCGAAAGAACAACATGAGAGAGTATCACTGTAATATAGAAAGGATTACAAGCCTTTGTGAGTAAAAAACTTTTTTGAAGATTAAAGCAATCAAATTGAAATAGGCGAGTCATCGAACGCAGAGACAGCGCGCCACAGAGCTGTCGGCGGCTCTCTGATCAGGCGCACTCTCATCCCCCTCTCCATCAACCGCCTTCTCTAAATACGAACTGTCTCAATAGAACGCAACGCTTCCAGTCTCTGCGTACGACAACTCTTTCAACTCAAAACACCAAAAGCTGCCATGAAAAAATTGTTCAAATCAAATTCGGGTAAAAACTGAAGAAAATCAGCAAACAGCACAGACACACACGAGATCATGCACATGCTTTGCGTGCAGCTATAAAAACATGACAACCTTCATAGCGTGTCTCGTCGGCATCTGAAATAATTCACAAGTACGATTGTCTTTTGTCAGCTAAGTATATGGATCGTGATGGCACGTACACATGCACGATTTAATTTTTGTCAAATCTTAAACATGCTAAGAAATTTGGAGAAGAACATTCTCCGTGCATCACATCACAACCTCTCAAAGAGGATACCTTCTTTAGTGTGTAACAGTACGCAGTGCGTGATTTGATATTATCAAAAGCTCCTGAGATTCTAGCTACTTCGAGACTGCGCCCAGAGCTGCGCTGTGACGGAGCTATGCCAGCGCCGTACTCGCCGATCCAGCGCCATGCCAGATCCGTGCTAGTGCGGCCCCGGAACCCACGTGCACGCGTGCCGTATTGATTGAACCATGTTCCTGCACGCTAACACAGCGCTGACACGGAGCTGTAACGGGCTCAGACGCAGCTCAAAGGGAAAGAAGACGTAAAAGTGAGCTAGACTTGGAACTCTAGCATCATTTGATGTCTTACCTAGTGAATTTCAAAGCTCAAAATCGGCTCGAGGAAACAAGATCGTGACCATAAAGGTAATTGAAACGTGGTACATGATTGAAAAAGCAGAATTTGGATCTGCCCATGATTTATTGCTATTCGTAAATGATTTACCTGCACTGAGGTTGCTAACGCGAGTCGATACCCTTCCATGCTTCACAATGGGTACCTGAAATAGAACAGATAATAGAGTCATCATGGTGTCAACTGTCCCAGCTTCAACACGGTCTTGCACAGCGCGGTAACTCAAAATTTTGCCTCCAATAAGTAAAAAACAAAAACTTGTTCAAAACAACAAGCTGTGACACTCCACTTGAGGTGCATATATACTTGAGGAAACAAAATGTGGCTAGGAAATTTAGAAAATTTATATGAATGAAAGCCGTGGCAATATTTTACCTAAGTTGCTGGAACCGTTCCAGCTGAGTGCCAATTCAGCTTTACCCAACCCCTGAAACCGTATCTACGTATTAATGTTTTCACAATAGGCAAAACGTTCCATACTTTTGTCTCTACGCCTATTCATAGCCCTCAAGGTTTCATTGGTGACGCAATCTTGCTCCGAGCGCAAAGCGCGCCCCTAAGCCTGTCTATGCGCAACTGTTTGATTTCCACCGGTTGCTCGATGTTCACTCTACTTGTTTTGCATCTTTCAATTTATTGTTGGTCTATGAGCCCGTTTATTTTCGTGTTTCGACTTGGTAATTACTCTAAAAAATTGTGGGAGCACTCTGAAAAGATAAAGGGGACTTCTTGAGAATTTTGCGAAATCAAAGAATCATACTTTCCAAAAACTTCCTGGTTCGAGTCCGAGAGCCCTGTCTGCGAAGCAAGTCATTCGACCCCTGCAATTCCTTGGCGGCAATTCAAAGGGAACTTGACTCCTTCCCACGCTATTTCACACGTGAGCAAAAGCTCAAACTTTGCCTATTCCTATTCTGTGTCACAACAATTGGGGCACATGACGTATCCGCTCTTCGTACTTGGAACACCCGAGTTTTTCGCCCAACAACCAGGGAAACTAATCAGTTCGGATGTATAATGAGCGGTTCGTAATTAGTCCTTGAACGAGAGCGGAAGTGTAAAAGCCAGCGTGTGTGTTGTCGCGAGGAAATATGAGTAGCTTCAGGTCTATGACCGCCGTCTCTATAACCAAGAATCAAGAAAATTAGTCATATGATTGCTAGTTCATGCTTGGAACAGGTCAGGTAGTAGAATGAGCGGAAGTATAGTCACAAATTTTACAGAAATACAAAGATGTATTCGCAAATTTATGAAACCTACGTTAGAGGAAGCTGAGAAGATAAGTATTTGGCGACCATGTAAACAAAAGCATTTCCAAAATTTAGAAATGTTTTTTGAAGCTAAAATGTTAGCAGTGGCAGCGATGTAGTCTTTATCTTCTAAACCTCAAAAAACTCAATGTTTCGACCAATAATAAATATGTCGCGACGGAAAAATCTGTCGCAATCCGTTTTTCCCAAGAGTTGGAGCTCAATTGTGGGTAAGAAACATAAATAGGAAATCACACAGTACGTGTAAATGCAGCGAGAGAACTCTTTCAAAAATTCTCAAGTGTTTTCACTACTACGAAACTTTGAATCTCATCTCCCACAATAAGATCTGTCAATGAATTGTATCGTTTTTGTAGAAGAAAAGTTTTTGCTGCTAACCTGAAACTCATGAATTGATCCCAGTATGAGACCGATGACGGATATCAACACGAAAGAGATGCTGCCAAAAGTGAAAAGTGTAGACAACAACGATCCATCTCCTTCACAGAAGTGATGTATTCGACTGCGGAGTGAACGGTCCCTCATCTCCAAATTTTTATCTTTTTTGTGGGTAAGCTCCTCAATGGAAGCGCTTCTGAAACTGTGATGGTGATTAGATCACTTAAAAACGATTGTGTCGAGATTAACACATTCACAATATTAGGGGATAGATTATTGGGGTTGTTAACGAAAAATTGGGTAAGGAAGGGGCGGGTATCAGCAGGTACTCACTTTGTTGAGGCTGTTGCGAACGAACGATTTCTGAAGCTAGGAAATGGAAGTGAAATTGTTTGTTTACGAAAGGTATGTCCTGCTTTTGATTGTTCAGTAGATCAAAACATCCTAATGAGTGAAGTAACGTTAAATAAACTTACAATTGGTTATAGCCTCGCCAACAACACGTCGACATCACAGATTCGGGAATTTTCCAATACGACAATTCATTTGAAAATTCCTGTGGACAAACATCAAGGGGTCGATGCAGTTGTCCAGTTGCGTAATACTTGAACACGGCATCAAACAATATCGACGATCGCTCAAAGTAGTACTCCTCGGCATCCTGTATTTTGTACATTGAATATAACAATCGGTGATAGGTCCTGAGTGGTTATACAGTAACTTACGACAATATATGCATCGCAAGAGCGCGTCCGCTTTTCATGATCCATTTGAGCGAACATCACCAGCTTCTCCTCTTCGGTTCGCGAAAACAAGCTGGTCATGCGAATTCGAAAAGACATTCCACCGACATTCAGTTTCAGTACGGTATCACCAGCTCCTATAGAGAACAATAAAAAAATTAGGAACGCAAGAACATTTCACTTGCGCTAGTTAATGCACAATTTTATTCAAAGTGACATTAGTACTTTAAGGCTCCGATCGTTAAGCATCGCTCATAGCTAGCGCGATTTGGAATTGCTGCGTTTTTTGATTTTTCGTAAGCAAAGCTTGGCTTATTAGTACCTGTTTACAAAAGCCTTGCGCTTATTCATTTAAAATTCGGTGGAAATGTAGACAGTGGTAACCTGCCGAATCGCGCGGCGACAGCAATTTGGCGGGATCGCGCGAGGTATATTGGTCGAGGTATGACCGATGGCTCGATCTGTCGTGAACTTTTTGAGTATGATGTTATTGAAGAAATATACCGATATTATTCCCCTTTCAATTAACTTTTTCCTTTTTCCCCTTCATTTCTTGGAATAGGTACGTTTCATTGTCTCCTAAGACATTACAAGAAATGGGTGAGTTACAATAATAATAACAATAATAATAATATTGCTGGTGTTTCTATAACTCTTCCCTCAATCTTGCAGCCTTCAAGATCGATTTGCAGATGGGGGGGGGGGGGGGGAGAGACATATCTTGTTTTTGACTTCCTGTTTCAAAGTTGTAGTCATGGAGATACAAATGGAAAGAAACATTCTTTCAAGTTTTCGAAAAGCCCTAATCTTCGTTTTCCTGTGACATAGATTTTAGCTCTCTTCCCACAGCGCAATGTTCCAGAAATTTGGAAAACCACTAGCATGCCTTGAAATCCATCCTGTCTATGCTTTTTGCACTCAGTCAAATTGCCATTCACCCCAACTTAAGGCAAAGAATAAACATGAATTGAAAGCAGTCCATACCGGATACAAGTTCAGGTCGAGGGCATCCATTCTCCGTCTTATGATCAGACGAGTAAACGTGATGCTGAGATGGCTGGAAAATACATCTACTCTCAAATTACACTCTCAGCATAAACATACGACCACAATTCGGACACCAATGTGCATATTTGAAAAAGCAAACATCATCACGACATGTAAAATTAGCATTCAAAGTTGGATTATCACAGTTATATACGAAGAAATTTTGAAACAATTAGAGTGTCTATAACAAAAATCGAGCTCCCTACCTCATCACTGTGATGATTTGGCTGGAGGCTATTATTATTGTTGTGGCCTTTCCGAGTGCTTGGAATAACCATTGCGATCTGTTGGCTGAAAAGAAGAACATTTTTTGAAAGATTTTTTTTTGGAGAAAAGGCTTCTTATAAAGCAGAATGGATCGTTTCAAAATATACTAGGATAATCCTCGAGTGAGTTGAAGATGTTGGATGGGCATGTTTGGTTACATTTTTAGAGCTGGTGTAGTAAGGACATATAAGATCGCATACGAGATTAGTGCACATCTTTCCTCCATCCCTAGTAGTGTACATTTCCTTTCCTTATCTGGTTTCTCATATATTTGGCACCTAGTTATTTATTTTAACTCTCACAAGCACTAGATTATAATCTAATCTTATCAGGCTCAACGTATAAATGCGCAGAGAGGTCGTTTCGAGTTAAGAAGTAAATTGCCACTTTTGTTTTGCGGGTGCGGATTGGAATCAGTCTCATCGGCTGCTAGTATTTCCGGTGTGTGATGGGGGGGGGGGCGGTGTAAATCTTAATTAGCTCAACGCTGACGACTCGATTTTCACAATTTTTGAAGTATTTTTGATGATTTGCGTCTTCTTGACTGAACTGAACTCGGAAAGGCAATGCTCATAGAGTATTTTATTGAAATACAAGCTCATTCGGCAAGGGTTAGGAAGATATATCATTTATAGAAATTTTCTCATTTCTTTCGCAAAGTCCTGAGCCACCTTTGGCCCCACCGTCGTCAATGGGATTTTTTGGGTCTCTGATTGAGCCAAATTTTTGCTAAAAATACGCCCCTAAGGACAAATGAGATGTACAGAATGCAAAAACGTCAAGATTCGTGTTGAGATAGGGTAGAATAGGGTTGTTTTTGAGTCGGATGACTCCTAGCACATTTATGAGAGGACCAGTCTAGCCTATCGTAGACGCTGGGCGGTCGGCTGTGCTACCAGCTGGAGCGGCTCCATTTATAGAAAAGAGCAGACGTGGGGGTGGGAGAGGGAGGTGGGGGGGGGGGGATGAGGATAAGAAGTGGGGGGGGGGGGGGAGAGGGAAGGAGAAGTAAAGAATGTAGAAGAAGAAATTATTAAGGCATGAGAAGTTTTTGTTAGACTTCATCTTCAGATTATCAGCATTACCCTTTGGACTCATGAAATAAACTAGGGTTACAATACTGGAAGTGTTCATATATTCATTTCTTGCGTCTACTTATAAATCTTTGCTAGGTCTATAAATCTCAACTACCAAACAGTATCAATATCAATCAACCAATCAATTGTATATCAATCAATTCCTGCCATATTTTCAATCAATTTAGAATTTGTACAAGTTTACTTCCAACTAAACAGTGACATAGTACGCAAAAAAAGATGATGTTCATTATCGCTCAACCTGGCTGTAACTCATTTTTTAAATCACTAGGGCTAATGACAAAAGAATACGGTATGTACCTTGTACCTTGTGCAAGTTTAAGCTTGAATACAACCACGTAGAGGAACGATGAACAGCTTACAGTAGAGCTTCCCAGCTTGGATTCATGAGCAGATTTGGTAATGGATCAGCAAAAAGGGGTTTAGTCTCCTTAGTAACTTAGCTTTGACTCATAAATAAGTTAGTAAATGAAAAACAAGCATTAGTGCAAGTATAGTAATATCTTGAGATAATTTGACTTTCGAGAGTGAAAAGCTACGTCTCTGGAAAACCTAAGCGGTATATATTCTCTCAAAAAAAGATTGAAGCAAACTGGCACGACACTTCGAAGGCACTGGGATAGAGATTTGTAAGTGCTAGTGTGACCTTAGCTTTGGCGTAATGGCTATAGATTCCGAACAGTGTTTGGAAAAGGAATTCAAAGTGCACATACATTCATTTGATTACTGTTGAATTATGGTAGCCTAGCTTGGATGAGATCAAAGTTACATAAAGAACCTGGTAGGGTTCAAGGACGAAAAGTTGTATTTTCTGCTTAACCATAATCGCGTATTATAACTATCAACAAGTTAAAAATGGAGTGAATCTTTTAGAAAAAGTGAGGATGAAGTTTAATTAATGCTATAGGGAGGGAATGCAATATTAATGCTACCGATTAAGCAGTCATCAGCTGCTTAGGTGAGCGCCAGTTTACTCTTGCATTTACTTTTGTAGCTCTAGTTTGCTGACAGACCGAACGGATGTCTTGGTGCGGTTTTTGGGGAGGGAATGCCTTTGCACGACATTTTCAAACTCTGAAGAATGCGATATAATCAGTCAATAAAGCAGATCTGATTCCGGTGTGCAACTAAATCAGTTCTTAAAAGCTTCTGAAAACCAAAGTACTGGAAACAGACGAAATAGGAACGAAACATGCCATGGGGGTTTTGGACATAACTCATTTGCATAGAAAAACTGGCGTGTAGTTAGTATGAACAACAACATTCAGAATGCAGATGAGGCTCGAGTTTAACAGAATGGGGTTTTTCCTTCCGGCCTCAACTTCCTCACAGTGCTCAAGTGAAAAGAAACAGCTAACGGAAAGCACTTAACAGATTAAGAGCACCTAGTAGGCTTTTTCATCAGAGGGCATCCGCGTGCTATAATCCTATAATAGCGAGAATTCTATGGACAAATCGTGATCTAATTTCTCTCCATTTGAGCATGAGGCCAAGCACAGATGCCAATCGGCTTCTGGTGTAAAGGTACGCTTTGTGTCCGAAAAAGCTGCGCGAGATGGCCAGCTTTTTTTTCAGGGATCTTTTAAACAGGGTCAAGCGTGTGATGCGACTGTCGCAACGGGGGGTCGTAAATGGGGCCTACGGTGAGTGGGGGAGGGGTCGTAAGAGGGGGTAGTTGGGATAAAAAACCGTACGATTGAGAGCAAATCAAATAGCAAGTAATTATTACATGTTCTTAACAATAAACTCATGGAATGCCGTGTATCAATGTATCAAATAGAGACGAGTGAACAATAATTTGAAATTTGCAAGCGTAGAAATTCGCTTCATTTGCTGCACTTTTGAAAGATTATGACTTAGTTCTTTTTTTATGGGAATCGCTATTTCTCCCGCAAAATATTGTCTCAAACGGGGATCGAACCCTGCTGGCATGACTAAAATCCAAAAAATAAACACTTTCAGAAGTTCAAATGCTACTAAAGGCATGTATGTGTGATAGAGATGCTGGATGTACCGATTGGTGTAGACATCCTGCCTCCGAAGGCTCACTGAAGACTCGCACACTCGACAAAAGCGCACATGTAGATCAACGATGACAATCTATAATTCGTGAATCTTTTTGTAATGCCATTTATGCGGCCCTTACAATTTATATGTACTTTAGATAAGCCCTGCTACTGCTGTGCGAAATCTGGTGTTATTTTATAAACTGCGGATTTTCTTATGATTTTATGTATGGTGGCAAAAAATGAGAAAAGGGGGGTCGTATCTGCGCCTGATCCAAATTTCTCCGGAGCTATTGAAGCCCGTTAGCTGCAAACTTGCTATAATACGAGGCCATCACTCTAGTTTTTGTCACAAGAATTTCAGGCTGTTTTATAACTTCTTTGGTAAGTTACAAAATTTTAAGCTCAAAAATCCCATTTTTTGCTTTCTAGGATCGCATCTAAATTTGAGAGAGCCTGATCTAAATTTTTCCGAGCTCACTGCTCCTCAAGAGCTGAAACTTTTTCTGTGAATAGTCTGGGCACAGTGCTACAGAATCTGTTCTTTGCAGCCTCTCAGTCTTTTCTGGCCTTAACGAATTTTCAAACTACCGTGCTCATGCACGTTTTTGACGTCGTTCTGGACGGCGCTCAAGCGGTTTTTTTTTCGCGGGAAAAACTGTGGAAGAGGTAGGAAGTAAGCTTCTTAGTCGAAAACATCTTTTGCAGTTCAAGAATGTCATTTTTTCTCCATGCAAAAATTTGTGTCGCCTACGGGAATCGAATTCGCTGGCCTGAAGTATGCCTGAAAATTCAAAAGTAAACTTGCAGAATCTCAAACATTATTGAAGGTGTGTATATGTGCTAGAGATGCTGGACGCACCCATCGGCCTAGAAATTCTGCTTCCGAAACCTCACTGAAGTTCTCACGCAGGTGTTTTTTGAGATAAACATTCGTTTATGCAGGTTATCGCGAGAAATGTGGGCAGGGGAGGTAAGGGGGAGGGACGGGGGGGAGGGGGGGGGGGGTCGTACGGATGGGTACCTTCAAGGGGAGGTTCGTAAATGAGGGTCCAGGATCGCATCAACACGCTTGACCCTGCTTTCAAAGAAACAGGAGGATAAAAATCTAACCAGGGTGCAATTTTGAGAAACTGAATTCAATTAGCCAATGCACGAGCATACGCTGATGCTTACGACAATTATGCTCCTTCACTGAAAAGCTATATGAGGAGAGCATTTGCCCAGCTATTCGACTTCACTTATCTCATTTCTAGTCCAGACTGGCCAACGCATAAAAGATAGATTATGGTTGGGGTTCAAATTTCGCAGAACAGCTTGATTTTTAGCTCCTGGGAGTTTCTCGAAAATGTTTGCAAATGAATTGCATGCTTGGAAAGAGGAGCGCCGTGCAGAACATTCGCTCAATCTTCATATATACAGGTACAACCAGAATGTTTTGGAAGCGTCAACGCTTTTTGGCTTACGGCAAGAAGATCAGTTCTGAGTGTAGGAGTTTAACAATCCCGGTAGCTCGCTGAATTGTACCTAAGGCCAGACTCTGGAAGCTGATAAACTTTACATTTCCGGTAGAATCTAATGTCAGAATTGAGAAAGGGCCAGTGGTGATCCTTTGGAAGAAAACGTCTTTATACTTTATGTTGCTATTTCCCCTTTTATATTCAACTAGCTGGCAAACCCGGCTCCGCCCGGCCCTGTCATTATTATATTCGTAATCAGCATGCTCGATTACCCCCCTGTGCCAACTCCCAGCCCCGTAGCTCAAATTTTGCAAAAAATCGATAAAATCGATATCGATCGATAACGATAAGTAGCCTATGACACGCTCCCTGCCCCGAAGTATATGTGTGCCAAGTTTGGTCCAAATCGGTTCAGAAATAAAAATTTCTATTCCGCACATACGTACAGACATACAGACAGA